CAATAGTGGTGATGGGAGAAACGCTCAGAAGACAAGCAGGTGGGACGACCCCTGAGGCTGCAATCTCATTGCATTCAATAAATATATTTTCGGCAGGAACAGGGAGTGGATCCTTGTAAACATTTAGTGGGTCAATGTCTAGAGAGGCATCTAGCTCGTTTGGACTTGTACAGGAACTTAATTCACCTTCAGGAGGAGAACGGTCAATAAAACCGTCTCTGTATCCTTCGGCATATCTGAGAGCCCCGATCTGAGAAAAACAGGCATGGAGAGCCTTCATGCCACCATCAACTTTACCTATGACATTAAGTAGAACAGCGCGTTCATTCGAGAATTTCTCTTCTGAAATAGAATGGGTTAACCATTCAGCAACCAAAGTGCGCTGAAGTTCCCCCTTCTCAACTTTCAGAGCGTCTCTCTCGGTCTGCATGACATTTTTTTATATCTTTAAGACGTCTAGCTCGTCATGAAGAGAATCTCGCTCATTCTTCAGAGCATCCCTCTCAGCCTTCAAAGCGTCTATCTCCTTTTTCGAGTCATTCAGCTTAACCAATAGCTCTGAGTTTTTGGCTTTAGTTGTCATTTCTACTTGGACAGATCTGTTAAAGCCAAGAGAGAGGGCTTTAATCCTCTTGTTTGTCATTTCCAGATTTCTCTGAAAGGTGACCATCCCAAACAGAGTCTACACAAAGACACAAGCGTTCTGGTAAGTACAAGAGCGAAGTGATCTGAAAAAAAAAAAAAAAAAAAAAATAATAATAATAATAATAATAATAATAATTGGATGAAAGATGGTATAAAAGAAAAGAGAGCTACCTCAACAGCAGCTGAGGGGAAATGATGGAACATTTCATTGCAAGTCATTTTTTCCTGGGTCTGTAGATCCTGAGGGGTCCAAATGCCCCTATAGGATGCAAATGAGGTGGCAGGATCCTTAAAAACAGTGTCAGTAAAGGCCATAATTGACCCATCCTCCCGTTTGAGCAAGGGACGCCATTGGACCACTGGTGGGGAAGAGACAGAAGTTCTGGTTGATTCACCCTCTGGAATGGTTACCTAAGGAGAAGGGACAGTGGTAATGACCCTGTAAGTCCGGGCCCTTCTGGCTGGAGGAAGGTCATTTTGGTTAGAGCCACCCTCAAGCTGGGGTCTTTTACCCAGGCTCTTTTCTGAAAGATTAGTTCAGACAGGGGAAGATCCCTCAACATTCTGAGCAGCAGGTGGAGAAGTTTTGTTTGGAGTATCAGAAGATTCGTTGTTCGGCAAGATGGGTTAAACTTCAACTGAAGTGGATGCAGAGGGTTCAATGGTAGGATGCCCAACGTTCTAAGCCGTAACTGGGACAGCTGGAATGGCCACAGAAGTGGCCAAGGTAACCACATGAGCAGCTGTAGAGGAGAGTTTTCTTTTTTTGCTGAACGAAGGGATCTAGATGTGTTCCACGGAGGCACCAAGAATGGATATGTCAGAAAGGTTGTTCGGTATGAACAGGTCTGTGGCCGAGGGGATGTCGTTCAGAACTCTTTCCTTCAGAAGATCGATTCTAGCCCTGCAAACGCTATAAACCAATTCGTATGAAGAATGCGAAAGCAATCACAAAGAGAAGTGCAGAAACGGGGAAGGCAAATTTCACAGGGGCAGTCGGTCGGATGTTTCTTATACTTCTTATATAAAGGGACAGAATATTCTCCGAAAGTGGTCGGGATAGGGAAAGTCTGAGCGAATGGAATTCGCCAATTTTCACTAACCCTAATTAAAATTTTCCTCCAACCCTTTTCAGATGAGAGTTTGTCCGTACAAATAGATCATTTCTCGATGGGAAAGAAGTGAAAGTACATTATTGGTTCTGATTTTGGTAACTCGGTAACAGAGAAGAAGATTTATGATATCTAAATCTAAATTCTTATCACGGTTTAAAATCAAAAGAACTGATATTACCCTAAGGAAGTTGGGTTAACCTAAAGAGGAGAAAGCCCTAATTTGCTGAGGGCGTAACAGAAGAACGGGTGTAAAGGAAATCTAATTACATTCAAGTGAAGAACAGAGAAGAGGACCTCCCCTGGAAAAAGACATTCACCAGATCTCTCATCCAGGTCCTCGGGATAAATCCTAAGGGAGACATTGTTAGGGATTTTGTTCCTTGAATGAAGAACCTCTAAGTCAGGAGCCATAATAATGGCAGAGGAGATTCTCAATTTTAGATTTTCTTTCTTTCAAGAAAAATAGTAAAGAGTAAAGTTTTCAAAAAACAACAAGGAATCAAAACTAACCTTGGAAAGAAGATTTGCAGAATACACCGCAGTGAAACGAGAGACGAAGAATTGCAAAAGAAGAACTCACCGGAGAGGTTAAGGAGAACTCACCGGCGAAGACTGGTAATTGGCAGAGACGATTAAGAGAGACGATGCTTGAAGGCGAAGATGGCAAAGGTAAAGTAAGGACAAGAGCTTGAGGTTTGAGGTTTTAAAGAGAAAATGGCTCACTACCCAAAGAACTATAGCAATGATGGTGATTCAAATCTCAAAGCGTGGGTCTCTAAACCAACCGTTCACTTCCCCACATCATTACCTCGAGCAGTCTCATCATAATTAAGTCCCTTCGATAATATCACCTTAATTAATTAGAGAGAGATTATGGGGGCAGATGAGGATACCAAAGTAACCTAGGACGAGCACGACCCAGATTACTGGAAACGGGTCTGGAAAGAACACTTTGTTTTATCGAGCCATCACTTATCGAGCCCAAGATCGAAAGATCAGTCTGGAAGCCCGATCTCAGAGCAAATGAAATGGGCTCATATCCGTAATGAGCCCAAAGGATCAGCCCAGCATGAAGAGTTAGTTAGGAAGCTTCTAGAATGTTTGTAGAAGTTTATAAATAGACTGAAAAGAGAGGGAAAATGGGTTAAAAATTTCTTGAAGTCTAAAACTATTCTGTCCAAATTGAGAGAGAAGATTTCTTGCATCTTCAGTAGTGTAGTACAACAGATAGTTGAGAGCTCTTTAAAAAAATATACATAATAGAGTGCACCACAAAGTCCAATGATCCTACTTCTGTTCCTATAAAATCCTTCTATCCTCATGTACCAAACATGAAGTACGTACGTAAATTATTTGTTACTCATAGATGATGGTGAATCTGAATGCTATGATAAGGCATGTTAGGCTGAAGATGCCAGTAAGTTGGAGCTTGCAATGAGAGATGAGTTCACTACAAGAAAAACAGTTTTTTAGAACGCCCTTTTTACCACGGTTTTAAAATAACCGTGGTAAAAGATGTTTTTATCACGGTTAAGGAAAAACCGTGGTAGTAATTATAACCGTGGTAAAATAATTCATTTTTTATCACGATTATAAATATAACCGTGGTAGTAATTATATTTTCTACCACGGTTATATTTATAATGGGATAATTTCACTTACCTCCCCTGAGGTTAGACGTAATTACAGGCAGTACCCCTAACGTTTCAAAAATTACACTATCCTTCCTCAAGGTTTGCTCCGTTGTAACACTTAGCCCCCTCCGGTGAAAGTCAATGCCGGTCAATGATGATTTTTGATGACATCAGCTATTTTTAACTATGCAATACCACATTTGCCCTTATTATATTTGCAAAGACATTTTAACCCTTAGTTTTGTATTAAAATAACCTATATACCCAGGAAAAAAAAAAAAAAAATACCCGTGAACTCATCTTCATCTCTTCCAAGACAATGAAAGGGAATGTTACCGGGTTCAGGCTCAGGTAGAGATACTTCAACTGGTTAAGCCAGGTTAAGAGCCGATCCACGGGTCCGATTAATTGGTTCTAAGACAATGAAAGGTACTGTCGTGAAGGAGAGAATGAAGTGGGTGAGAGAGAACCAGAGAGTGCGTCGTGCTTGAGGTCGTAGCGGGTTAGGGTTTGTAACGCGAACGTCAGGACCGAACCGGAGAGACGATTGTGACTGAGAATGACGTTTGACCACGCCGGTAGACCTGCAACCGACTGAGGAATACTTCCATTGATTTGATTGTAACTGAGATCGAGGGTTCGTAGAGCACGAAGCTGATCTAGAGTTGCCGGAATCCCACCGGAGATGAAATTCTTGCTGACGGCGAGAAACACTAGGTTGTTCAACTGAGGTAAAGTTTCAGGAAGAGCGCCAATGATCCGACCCGGGACAAAGGCGAACTCGGCGAGAGAGGAGAGTTTTCCAATTGCAGGATTGAGGCGTCCGGTCAGACCAGGCGAACCGGCCCTCGGGTCACCAAGATTCAAAGCGATGACCTTGTCTCCGTCGCAATACACACCGGCGAAGTCGCAGGGCTTCGCCATGAAATCCCATGTGGAGAAGAAGTCCGATCCCGGCATGTCTTCTAGGGCGTTTCAAAGCGATGACCCTGTCTTCGTCGCAACCTTTGATTGATATATAGTTCAGGGATCATCCATTTGACAGAGAGGGGCAACCCCCCTTTGAAACTCCCCCATCTCTCTGAGCAGCGAGCCTCATTCTTAAACTAATGAGTTTTGAAACCCTACACAAAATCAAGATTGCAGTTGCAGAAAGAGAGAGGGCAAGTTCAGAGTTGAGAATGAGAATAGAGATGGAGGCGACTAAGGAGGCTGAAATGATTTGCCCTAAAATTATATATATATATATTTATTTGACCTTGATTGTGATTTAGAAAAAATAATTTAATATACTTTACTTTGGGAAAAAAAAAAATAATAATAATAAAATAATTTAATGTGATATTAATAAAATATTAGGGACAATATAGTAATATCAAAAAAATATATTCTTTATGTGATATTAATAAAATACTAGAGGGTGTTTTAGTCATTTAACATGGTCAATGGTCGGAATAAAATGCGGGTCAGTTTGGAGGGAGGTCAGTGTAAATTTTGAACCGTAAGGAATATCACCTGTAATTAGGCCTAACCTCATGAGAGGTAAGTAAAATTACCCCTATTTATAATCGTGATAGAAAATGAATTATTTTACACCGTTATAAAAAGTGAATTTTGTGATATTCTGAACGCGGGTCTTATTCCCGCTACTTCCTTAAAATTTTAAGGTGGATTATTTCAGACCACACAAGTACAGACCACACCCGCAAATCATTTCAGCCTCCCAAATCGCCTCCATCTCTACCACACGCAAATCCAAATCGCCTCCCAAATCGCCTCCATCTCTATTTCGTTCTCAACTCTGAACTTGCCCTCTCTCTGCGACTGCAAACTACAAGATCAACAAGAATCAGATCAACCTCCCAAATCGCCTCCATCTCTATTCTCGTTCTTGACTCTGAACTTGCCCTCTCTCTGTCTCTGCAACTGCAAACTACAAAATCTACAAGAATCAGATCAACCTCCGAAATCGCCTCTATCTCTATTCTCGTTCTCAACTCTGAACTTGCCCTCTCTCTGCCTCTGCAACTGCAAACTACAAAATCTACAAGAATCAGAACCCTCTCTATTTCCTCTTTCTCCCTCTATCTTTCTCTGTCTATCTTTCTCCGTTTCTCTCTTGACATAGATACATACATACTCAGGAAGAGAAAACCTAGAATCTGACATTACCCGCTTTTAGGCCCCATTAATGGACACCGACGTAGCGAGGTGCCCGCCGACGATGGATCTACCGTCGCCGAACCTCCCTCTGATCCCTCTGCTACCAAGAAATCCAAGCGATTCGAGATGAAAAAATGGAGTGCCGTAGCTCTCTGGTCTTGGGGTCCGTATATATATATATATATAATATTGTGATTGTAGGAATATGTGACCATGCATTTGTTTTTGTGTGTGAATAGTTTGAAATTTATTGTGTATTTTGTGATACATTGTGAATTTGAGTTGATTTGTGTATCGGTTGCTGCAGATATTGTTGTGGATACCTGTGCAATTTGTAGGAACCATATCATGGATCTCTGTAAGAGCTTTTGGTTGTGTTATTTTGTGTAGGTTTTTCTTCATTGTTATTGCATATGCTGTGTGATTTGGATGTGTGTTGATTTTGATTAGGCATTGAGTGCCAAGCTAATCAAGCAAGTGCGAGTAGCGAGGAGTGCACTGTTGCTTGGGGTAGGTGCTCTCTTAAACCACAACCCCTAATTAATCCAATTGAAACTTAGGATTATGAAATTTATATAATATATTCAATAGATTTGTTTGATTTGTGAAACCTTACAGTCTCTTTCCAAATATTGCAATGATCATGGTAAAGCTTGTTTCTAGCTGATCTTGTTACATTTGATTAAGGGGTCTTTTTGTGTTACCATAATTCCTTTTGTTATAAAATCAGAATAGTAACTGTTTTCTTTTCCTTTTTGTTTATTTATTATTTCCTTCCCCAATTGAGGTTCCTTTTATGTTTTAACTAATGATTTTTTTTGTATATATATATATATATATATATATATATATATATATATATATATATATATAGTTTTTAGAAAACATGCATAATTCATTGGTTTAACTAGTTGGTCCAAATAATATGTAATAATGCAGAATAATTTTTGAGCCTTTTTAATGTATGGAATTTTATTTGTTGCCAAGGTGGTAAGATGGAAATGATGGTCCATTGTATACCCCTAATTAGACCTGCATAGCATCGAAATATATGCCCAGGGAACTCTCATTTGGAATTAAGGGATTATACTCTGCATAATAGTGTAGGAGAAATTGTAATTTGTTCCCAAATAAAATTTTGGGAATATGTATTTTATTTTTTAAATGAAAATTGTGTTCGAGTATTCTCCTTTTATCATATATTCAAAGCCTGATTTTGGCTTTGCACTATGAGTTATATTTTTGCACTAAAGTGTCTTGCTAATGAACTACAGTTCCATTTAAACAAATAAACTGAACAGATGGTCCATGAGCTTTTTTGTCCTTCATTATTAGTTCACATGCAATCAAAAGCTGAACGTGCAGCTTCATCTCTAATACCTGGTCAACAATCTTGTGCTATAGACATTTTTTTTAACTCTCTCTCTCTCTCTCTCTCTATATATATATATATATATATATATATATACCAACATTTCTCTTCTTTTTTCAAAGAAATTGTCTGCTTATCCTTTGTCTTTCAACTTCATATTATAATGTCTGAGTGCTTTTTATCCTGTTTGATAACCAAATTAAAATTAAACAGGTGGTGAGCTGTATTGTGGAAGTCCATGTGCTAATGAATTTAAAATCCTAAGTTGACATTGTTATGTACCCCCCGTACGAAAAGTGAGAACTGTAAGTATTATTTTATGCACTCTTTCTTTTCTTTCTTCTTTTCACTCGCAAGTTTGACTAGATGTCAAGAATAATCATGCATGTATACAGTCTCCTCCACACCGCTCTGTCATGATGATTAGATTATAGTTTAGCTTTTGTTTTTTGGTATAATTTTAATAGAGGATGGTTTGCATGTGATCGTTGTCCTGATATATGTTTTAGAGGCTAAAGTGAAGTTCTTTTTAGTTAATTGTGTCTGACAAAACCTAGTCTTGGTGTATACTGTGATATATAGAAAGATATAAATATAATTTCCAAACTTAAACAGCGTTAGTTCTACAATACTGTTAGTTCTCCCATATTCTATTTATGATATGGTTGGCTCCTAGGTCTTTCGATTATAGTTAAGTTCATAATGATCTGGTTATGCTTTTGACATTGCTGGATACTGCATAGTATTTGTGTTCATTCGATTGATGTCTTTAACATTTGCAGTTTTGTTATCTTATTGGTTTGGTTTTTTTTTATTATGAATCAGGGGTGGACCCATCAACTTTTGTTTGGGGGGCCAAACTAGTTCTATCTACTTTAAAATTTAAAAGGTAGTTGTGAAAGTTTTTTTTTATTAGTAATATATCTCTTGATGTCTTTATATTAACATGTGTATTAATATATTATAATGGGCTTTATTTTTCTATTAAGATTTGGGCTTATTCTTCCCAGTATTACGTGGATCTCACACACACACACACACACACACACACACACAAACATCTATTCTTCTTTCCTCTCAATTTTTGAGAATCTAAGCAAATCTTATAATGCATAATTTTTTTGCCCATTCCATAAAAGAATAACAGGACATGTAAGATATGCATGATAAAAACAACAAATAGTTCATTGTTATTTACCTTAGGTAGAAGGTTTGTTCATAATTTTTTTACCCATTCCATAAAAGAATAATGAGTTTATGCTCATGATAAAAACAACAAATAGTTCATTGTTAGATCTTATGTATTGTCTAGCATAAGGGTAATTTTTTTCCCCTGGCTTATAAGATAAATACATTGGTTATTTACCTTGGGTAGAAGGTTTGTTCAACTGGCATTTAGTTAGCAACTGCAATATTGGTTTTTTACCATGTTAATTAAGGGAGCTCTTTTGCTCTAATGATCACAATCTTAATTTTAATCCATTTCAGGGTTAGCAGTGCTGGTGGTAATGCTAGTGACCACATGCCTAACTTCCTTAGTGATCATCCTTTGTTGGCACAGTGAATGAAGATGGTTGGGCAAGCTTGGCGGTGCTACTTCTTTTTGCAATTTTTTGTTAGCACTTGGTTTTCTTTTTTTTTAACAATGATGGAGACTTTGTACTCTAAATTATTCGATGAATGTTTTGGATTAATTTTTGGTGATTGTTCTTTTTTTTAACAATGATGGAAACTTTGTACTTCAAATTATTTAATGAATGTTTGGGATTAATTTGAGGTGATTGTTGTATATATATATGCCTTTGGTTGCAATTTGGTTGTGTATGTGGAGTAGGATATGAGTGATATATGTTGTTGGACGACAGGTTACCCATTTAATATATATATATACATACACACTTTATGCCATCGGCTTAATGTGAGGTAAAAACTATCATATTATTTCTATCATGGGAAGAAAAAAAAGAGGCTTCATAAGGGTTAAACTATTATTTTTTAAAAAAATTATATAACACTTTTTACCACGGTGGAGGACCGTGGTAGAAAATAGACTTTTTACCATGGTGCGAAACCGTGATAGTGCGGAATCGTGGTTGAAAATAGACTTTCTACTACGGTTTTGCACCATGGTAGAAAGTCGACTTTTTATCACGGTGCAAAATCGTGGTAGAAAGCACGGTTATTTCTATCACGATTCAAAATTATGGTAGAAAGTCTTTTTCACCGTGGTAAAAAGTCATTTTTCTTGTAGTGGATGAAATCTCTTATTTCTAACAATACATGTGAGTTAGCTATGTTACCTATAGGGAAGAAAGCACTTCACGACAAATGGGTGTACAGGGTCAAAGAATAACATGATGGTTCCAAGTGCTACAAGTTGATATTATAAGTAGTCAAAGGCTTTCATCAAAAAGAGAGACTTGACTACATAGTCATCTTTTCACCGGTTGTAAAATTGACTACCATTCGGTTGGTCCTAAGCATTGTTGCAACAGAGGATTTGTACCTTGAGCAGTTAGATATGAAAATTGATTTTCTCTATGGTGACCTAGAGGCAATCGAAGTGTTTCTCAGTCAAAGAGAAATTGAAACTAGTATGCAAGTTAAAGAAAAGCTTGTATGATTTGAAACAAGCCCCGAGGCAGAGGTACAACAAGTTTGATGGGTTTATAAATCGACATGGCTACAACAAGTGCAACAATGACTATTATTGTTACTTCAAGAGGTTTAAGAGGCTCATGAAGTTTTGATAATTCTTACATGCTTCTTTGCTAACAATATCAATAAACTCCTCCATTTTTTCATCATACAAAGATCGATATTAAAACCCTAAGGAGAGAGAAGATAATTAATACAAAGTAGAGAAAGAAAATGTTAGAAGTAACCCAAAACATTAATTGGGGAGATGAGAGAGTTAGAAGATGCATTTCATTAACTAAAAGGGTAATTATGAATTTTAAAAAAAAATTATTTATTTATAAAATTAGGGATAGAAGTGACGTTTTTTTTTTAAGAGTAGTTCAATCGTAGAAAAGTAAAGTAGGAATATTGCCTCCTTTATTTAAGCACGCACTTATTTTTTATACTAGTCAAAAGTTTTACAAAGTACAATTTCAATCCATTATGTAGCAAGTACATGACTAGCAAAAGAACATGGCGTTGCAACAACACGTAGAGGATATTTTCTGTGGATACTTATACCAGGGGCTTCAGTCATGTCAAAATCCTCTTCTGTTGTCCCATCTGGCAATGTAAAATCAAACTTATGAATAAGATTTGCTAATGCAAGCTCATTGACACTTATGCAAGATTTGCCAATCACACCCTCCAAAAATTCGTCGAGCTCTTTAGCAATTTTCTCGACTCTACCATTCGCACCGTTGATTTGATTCAACCACACAAGCCAAGGGATATAGTCCCCCACACTGAATTCACCCAATAGTGCCGCAGTATCCCCCAAAAGATCCTTAAACTTCCTACCACTTTTTGAGCTTTCACTGTACTTCCCCCCTAAGGCTACCCGACAAACTACATCATTCGTAAGTGAAACCAACATTTCACTCAGATTCACTGGTGAAGAAGAAGAAGAAGAAGCTGATTTGATCTTCTCGATCAAAAGGGCTGTTTCTTCTTCTCTCACTCCACGGTAAGACTGAACTCGCCTATTACTCAAAAGGTTAAGCACACAAATGCTTTTTACTTGCCTCCAATACTCTCCATAAGGAACAAATGCGACGTCCTTATTATAGAAAACTCTACTGGCAATGCTCAATTTAGGTCTGTTTGAGAAGATGAGATCATGGGTTTTCATGATCTCGCGAGCTGCATCAGCAGAGGAGACGATTAGAACTGGCTTGCTGCCGAAGTGAAGCAGCATGATGGGGCCATATTTTTGCGCTAGTGATTGGAGGGAGCGATGAGGGAACACGCCAAGTTGGTGGAGGTTTCCGATAATTGGGAACTTTGGTGGAGAAGGTGGTAGATTTCTTTGGGGTTGTGAAGTGGACAACCATTTGAAAAGGAAAAATATGGAGAAGAGCAATGGGGGGAGAGAGTAAAATGGAAGATGCAATAAGAGCACCATAACTTGTTGCTCTGGATAGCTAATCCTAGCTACATATTTCCTAAGAACAAGACATTTACTTGGAGTATATGTAGTTTCGACTTCTAGGGTGGCCTGGCTAAATGGATTAGGATCTTCTCCTTTTCCTCTTTATCTGGTCCGTGCATTTCAATCCACAACACAACAATTATAAATTTAAGTATAATGCTCAGCTACTCATTGGTGAGTAGGATGGAGCTACTCACCCTTATGTGGTCCAATAATAAAATAACATATCACATTTAATAATAAAATATTTCACACCTAAAAATAGTATATACGTTTATTCAATGGTTGATCCGAGAAAGCAGAAAAAGGTGTTGATTTTTTTTATCATTAAAGGTAATGTGCTATTTTGTTATTTGACCAAATAGGGGTGAGTAACTTCACCCTACTCACCAGTAAGTAACTAAGTATTGTCCATCAACCATTAAATAAACGTATATAGTATTTTTAGGTGTGAATTATTTTATTATTAAATATGATGTGCTATTTTATTATTGGATCACATAGGAGTGAGTAGCTTCACCCTATTCACCAGTGAGTAGCTAAACATTATCTTAAATTTATAATATAATAACTTTGAATTGTCAATGCAAAAATTTTAAATCATCAACAACGTAAAAATCACGCATGTATTACCATTCAAACAAAAAACAATGTATTAAATCTTATAATTTTATGTTTTTCACCTCAATTTGATTGTTAAATTTACCATTCAAACAAAAAACAATCACGTATATATGTATTAAATCTTATAATTTTATGTTTATCATCTCAATTTGATTGTTAAATTATAGGGAGGTGATATTCGCATTTCATGTTTTTATATTTCTACTTCATTTAATTTTTTTCCTCCAAAAAAAAAAATAACAAAAAAGTTTTTAAATTCATTAATGCACTTTCTCTTATTTTTAAAAAACAATAATTATTATTTATACTATAAACTTTAAACTTTTTTATCTTATTTATTTTCTTTAGTGTATTTTTATTTTAGATTATGTTAAAAGAGATAATTTATTCAGGAGAGATTACTTATTTTTGATAATTTATTTAATTTTTATTTTTTGAGGAGGCGGGGGAGGAGTGTTGTCAAAAGAAATAATTTATTCAACATATATAATAAATTTTTTTCCCCAAGAGATAATGTTTCAACAAAGATAACTCATCTTTCAAATTTATTTTATTTTATTTTACTTATTTAAATTTTTTGTCAAAATACATAATTTATTCAATAAAGAGAAGTTCCTTCCTTTTTTTTTTTTTTTTTTTTTTTGTCTTCATGCCAAAAGATAAAATTTATTCAATTGAGATTATATATATAATCTATACATACATATATTTTGGGTTCTTTGTTGTGTTTGTACTTTTTATTTTCAAGTTCTGTCAAAATAGATAAATTATATTATTATTATTATTTTTATTTTTATTTTTTTGGTTACTTTTCTTTATTTTTGTCAAGAGACAAAAAAATAATAAAGATGGGGAGAGAAAGGGGAAGACAAATAATATCTAGAAGGGTAGTTGTGTAATTTAAAAATAAATAATTATTTACTAAAATTAGAAGAATCATTTTACAAAGGTGGAGTGTCAATATCCCTCCTAAATTAAATTTATATTTATATTATATTTGTTTAAGTCTCCATGTAACCATATGACTATATGTTCACACTCTCAACTTTGTGTCTAACAGGACTTGAACCATCTTTGAATGTAGTAAAACCAACTCTGCCGCCATCTTTGAATTTGTAACCTTACCATAGTCTTTAAAGAATCTTGACAAATTGGGACATAAACTGATCTTCCAAATATGTTTTCTTTTAAAATATTACACCAACTCTTGCCTTCTTTGAATGTTTCTAAACCTATCATATTCTCTCACTTTCATTTGACTTGGGGTTTTATGATGACATTAAGCTTGTAATTAAGACTTTTGAGAAATTTCTCAATTATTTTGCTGTTGCACATTCGAATTACATAACAAAATGTTGTGGTTTTAAATTTAATCATATAATAAAATATGATGAAATGCAATAAAATTTACTATGTAAGCATATGTAATAAAACAATGTCATATTCATACATAGTCCCGGTATTTAACAAATACCATATTCAATTTATGCTAAGATGATGATGATGATGATGATGATGATACATATATCTTGCTACATTTTAATTTCAAGTGAAATACAAGGTATTAAATTTTCATTCAACAGATTAACTGTTATACACCAAAAAAAAATAAAATAAAAAAATAAATTCGTACATAGATCTTGACATTCAAGGGGATAAATAAAATCTATTATTGATGATAAAACAAATCTCAACCATCGATGTCAACTCAACTAACTCCGTTAATGATGAAGGAGATCTCAATCATCGACATTGGCTGAACCAACTTGATTTCAATCGATAACTATAAATAAGGCATCGAGCCATTAAAAAATGTATGAGGAAAAACCTAAACATTGAATAAATAAAAAAATAATTTATGTTGCAAGTATTAGTGTGCTATGAACTATCTTAACCCATTTTGACTTAATGTCAGAATTAAACGTGTATTATTGATCGAATTGTTTTGATTGGTGTGGAGTCATAAAGCTATAAGTGTCTATTTGCTAGTTGGTTTGTTTGAAAAAAAATATTTGATTTGAGAGTAAGTCGTCATTGAATGAAGATAGGATGGTGATTGCAAGGACTTTTCCGAGTAATGCTGATGATCTTCTTAAATTCCACAGTTAGGTTCAACAGATAACAGATTGAAACTCTAGTTCAAAATAAAAGAGCATGGCCTAATTTAGTCTTTATGGACTTGTCATCAGAAACTATAATCTAGTAGTAGTTTTTTAATTTTTAAAGCAAACGATGATAACATGACACAATATTTTATATGGTTTACCTAATTCTAGAATTATGTCTATAGAGAGAGAATATTCACTATTATAAATCAAGAAAGATTATATACAATATTCCAATGTTAAAATCACACTGACTCGTTTATCATCTCTTTTGAGACTACGTCTTGTACTCGGGAGCTAGATATACTCTCTCATCTTCTCACAACACTCACCATTTCCTTACATTTTCTCTCTCCCTCCCTCATCCATCTCTATGTACATATAGAGTCGACAAGAATTCCACGACTTGCCTACAATAAGTTACTGTATTAGTCACAACTCTAAAATAGAAACCTAATATGCCACAAATTCCTTCTCTTATCTTGAATCTGCACCTCACCTTAGTTAGACTGCTTCAAATAATTTGAATAGGCTCATCTTCAATTTTCATCCCAATTGAACTAGTTCTAAATAACTTGAACATGTCCATCTTCTGCAGAACACTGTACATACATTTAATTCAAAAACCCAACACTCTCGTAGGTAACCTCAAATATATCCCACATGCTTCTTTCTAAGCAGTGTAAGTAGAGATCCTAAAAAACTTTGATGGGACAACTATATTAAAAATAGCATACAAAGCTTTTTTTATTTGCATTGGCAGACTCAATTTTTGTTGGGGTCCATAAATATGATACCTTTTTAACAGTAACTCTATTAACCCCTATGCCAAACCTGTTCTCCACAAGCACTGCACAAATTGCTGCTACCTGTGTAACAAAGAATGGGAATCAATTAACCACCTTTTCTTCAATTGTGAGTTTACCTCACACATTTGGAAGTTTGTCCAAGAAACTGCAGGTTTCTTCATTTTGCCAAGCAATTGGAATGAGTTACTCCAATGGTGTTCATCTCACTGGTCCTCAAGTGTTTTCCTTCTCCATAAGTTACTTTAGGCTGCAGCTGTCTACTTTATTTGGATGGAAAGGAATGCAAGAGCTCTTAGGAACCAAGCATCTTCTTCTAGCAGCATCATTGCACAAGTTAAAGGTTGTGTTCGAGCAAGGCTTGCATCACTTAAGCTTAAAAACAGCTATAACATGAAGAGGATCACATCTTGCTCTCAACTCCACCTACTTTTTCAGCAGGGTTGTGGTCAATCCTTGCTTATCCCTTAGAATGGGGAAGTGTTTGTAGCTCTGCAGTACACATTGCAGCTACTTGGATACATAGTTTGTCTATGAGGAGCTACTGCTGCATGTTAGAGAATTTGTTTTGGTTGTATATCTTTTGGTGTACCATGTTTGTGGTCACTCTTTTGATGTTTCTTCTCCCTAATCGGGACTCCATGTACATTCTTTCTTCTCATATATACAAGCTTATCATTTAACTAAAAAAAAAAACTCTATTAACACCTTCTCCAGAAGTAGCAGTTGGGGCAGTAACACACAACCTTCTTCTACAATCATCAAAACCTAAGTCCCATTGACCGGGAACAAGAGTGAAAGTGTCAAAATCTAAAATTTAGTCACAATGCTTATACACTTGTACGTTATTGTGTGTAAAATATTTTCAATATTTGTACATATATTTAAGACCATAATGTACTTTGTGGAATAACGAAAATTTAATTTCATAAATCCGAATGAGTTGGTCTAGTTCAAAGAGACTCAAGTCCTGATACCTTATTAAATATCAACTCTCAAGATAGATTCGTGTTAGGTGCAAAAAATTCTTTAGAGGAGTGTCTGAGTACCAATTACAAATATATATACAGTGGACATGGATTTGGAAATAGTTTTGATGATGGAAAGGCTATCCTAGATTTTGCGGCATATAATCTTATAATACCGAATACGTACCTTTTTTCAAAAGATAGATGAAGACTTGATCATTTTTAAAAGTAGATAAAATGTAAGTCAAAATGTTTTTTAAACAAGAAACGTGGATTGATTAACAAGTAAAGATTGTAAGCTATACTCAAAAAGAATTTAACATCACAACATAGACTCCAAAGAATTATGGGTCGTGATAGATGGGCCGATTTGTTTGGCAGAACATAGGTGGCAGTCCACGTAAGTAATTTTAATAATTAAAAAATAATAATAATAAATAAAAGGAGAAAGAATATACGGATTCATCTTCCTGTGATGGAACAGC